GTCTATTAAAAAAAAGATTATAAACGAACTCGTGACCAAAATAATGTATTTTATTTAAATACATATGCAAAATTTAAATAAAAAAATATTAAAATAGTCTTGTTTTGTTAAATTAAGTTTTGTTTATAAATTAAAAAAAAAATTGACTTCAATTTTTTACTCGCATTTATGAGATTTTTATTGCATATGCCTACTATAAATTAAAGGTTTTTTTCCGAAAATCCTCTTAAACATGTTAGTATATAGTTATTGGTACACATAGCGCTTATTGGTGCTCGGACTTACAAGAGCACGGCTAATAATAAAATAATATAATATTATTATACTTACACCTAGATGATGTTCTATTTACGCATTACGCCCTTAACCGATTACGTATTTTGGCGCTTATAGATAGATCGAAAACGATTTTCCGTTCCTTATAATTTCGATGTTCGGAGCTCACGCCCCTCGACCACCCCCAATTATATTGTCTACGTCCTTCAAAATACTCCAGCAATGTACATAGGGCTGCTATCTATGAGAGTGTTATTTAAGAAGATACTAATATATAATACACAATAGCGCATAATTATTATCCAGTATAACATTATATATTTATTATTTAGCACGCCTGGTAATAATAATAATGATGATAAAAAAACTTTTTTATCGTATAATATTATATCATACCTACTACAATATCGTCACGGTTAAAATTACATTTGGCCGGTGGTTTGCTGGATTAATGGCGTCGCCACTTGCCACTATATTATAGCAGAGCTATTTAATAATAATAATATAATATAATATGACATAATATGTGGCGCGCCCGTACCTATAATATTATAATATAATAGGTATAGGTACAGGCGGCGATATACCGCAGCAGCTTCGGAATGACGGAGTAACTATCCAAACTATATTGTATATTAATTAAGGAATGATGATTCACTGAGAAAACTTTAAAATATGCACTAAAAAAGTTGGGATATTCATAATAATATCCAATATTACATGATTGATAATAGCATACGTACATGATATATTATACTCCATCATTAATACTGCAGTAGTGCAGTATAGCCACTTATATATATATTGATATTATAATATTAATATAATATATATATTAGGGTGGTTCTTATTTATAAGGTCAGAATATTTTTTTTAATTTTCTGAAGTCAGGACCCTATAATATTATTGGATATGATATAAAAATAATTTAGGTTAAATTTGGTAATGATGACTCACCCCCTTCCCGTGCCTCAAGAGGGTTGAAAATGGCAAAATAGGGTAGTTTTACGGTTTTCTGTATTTTACTCTAAAACAGTTATAGTTATGATAAAATTACAAAAGAGCTTTATTAAATAAAATACAATTTTCTATAAATAACTATATTACAACATTTTACGAAAATCTATTGTTTTCTCTGAAAATAAAAAAAACAAAATAATTTAATTAATAAGCAAAAATATCTGATTTACGGTTTTTTAAATATATTTTATGAACGGTTGAAGATTTGATCAAATGTTTATTATTATTATATTAAAAATAATCTGAAATTATATAATTTTATAGTGATTGTTTTAAGTTATAATTTATACATATATATATTTATGTATATATATATTATATTCAGTGAAACATACAGTAATACGAGTGGAAAAAAGCAGTTGAACATGATTTTTATTTGTATCTTGTTAAATGTTTGATAGTACCTAGTGAACAACGCAACAGGAAATATTAAAATTCATAGAAATATATATTTTTTAGGTCTGTTATGTCGCTTGCACCCCCCCATTTTCAATTTCGGGTCCAAACCCGGGGAGATCGTTTGTGCAGCGTTAGTGTAACAGCCACTACAAAGTTTGTTATATTTATCTATAAGTGGCTTACGCCTTACATAATATTATTATTTTATTTTATACAAATGTCCTGTGTTTTAAATTATATATTATCGTATTTCTTTAATGAATTTACATATCTTTCAATATATTGACATTTGACAATATTGCATATAGCCATATAGGCAAACTTGAAAAACAGTAAGTGAAGCTAAGTATATTATAAGACGTATAATAATTAAGACATACTATAGTTCATATAACCACAATAAATTTTCAATTATTGATAAAAACAAAATTTTCGTGACTTACATATTATCAGATGCTTATATATTTTGAGGGTGAGTGCTATATAATAAGTTGGTACTTGATAGTACATTATGAAAACATTTGCTGGTTGGGGTGAGTGTTAAGTTAGGCCAACAAAGTCTCCACCTATTATAGATGCGTCTATAACTATAACTCGAAACGGCGTCTCAATGAGGCGACGATATCATAATTTATTAATTATTTATATAATTTAAACGTCGACATCGACATTGTACAATTTTTTTGTTCTCATTATACCTAAGCGTATAATAAATACACGTGGTTGCAGCACGCGATATATTATCTAGCGGAGGGCCTTTTATTGTGTCGCAATATTACATAGTTGCCGTGTCGTCGTATCTATTATAACAATAATAATAGGTAGTACGATTATTTGAATAAAATAAAGACTCCTCTGCGGCAGTGCGTATATTATATTGCCTTTATAATACCTAATATTATATTATTAAAATCTAACGCGGGCGCGCTTGTGTGTGTTATCGCATGTGATTGAATCGGACAAAACACCGCTACCGGCGGCGGCGGCGGCGGTGGTGTTCTCTCATTGTAGTGGCACATTACAATTAAAATTCATCACGTTACACACGTGTAGGTATATATATATGCACACACACACACACACACACCTACCTATACGAATAAAACGATAGACACCTGATGGCCTGCCGCCGCCTATATCGCGCTCTATAGTCATTAATGGAAAACGCTTAACAAAGTACCGATCTGACGATTGCTACTACCTCAAAGCTATCTAAAATTTCGATTATTATTATCGTTAATATCCTTGGCGAGGAAAAGACACACACGGGTGAGGTCATTGATTTAACCTTGAGCCTTGGGCTAAGAAAATGAGTGTGTGTGTGTGTATCTATATACCTAGGTAGTATGGGTAGGTACACGTCATGTGTGTACGCACCGCAGTCGCAGTGTGTGCCGTAACGTCGCGCATCGTCTTCGTCGAAAGCAGTGGACCATCTCACTTGGCCAATTACATAATTTGTCCCTTTAATAAAATAATAATATTATAATATAATACTGCATAGACAACACGCCACAACGTACGAGTAATGATAAATTATTGTAATAGTGTATACGCCTCTCCGACCAATCGATATAATAATAATATTGTATATAATGTTTGTTGTCATTTTCGACCACATATACATTGACTACATATATTGAGTATTGGAGTGTATACTGTATAATACTATAATGTAATATCGACTCTAAAGGGTGATTCACCATATATATGTTCATCCCCATTATTTCCCTCTAATAAGGAAATTATTCAAATTCTGATTTTTTTTTAATTTTTAAGTGGGTATCTATAGTTTTAAGAGCTATATTTTAAAAATCCTTGAAAAAATACGAATTATCTCTATACCTAGAAGTTTTCTATAGTTATCGAGACTCGACCGAATATAATAAATCGCCATTATCTTAAAAATATTCTTCTTTTCAATATAATATTATGTAATAATATTGTTTAAACACTAATAATATCTGCGACTCGGGTCAAAAAGGGCCATCCCAATTTTTGGCGAAAATGAGTTACATGGCCAATCTCATAAAACTTTGTACGCTTTTTCTAGTGGTAAAAGGGCGTATTTCAATAATCATTAGTGCGAGATATGAGAAGGCCAATGTCATGAAAATTACAAATCTAGGGCATAATATGTGAACATTGGCCCCTTTGTGTTTAAATAAAAGTGAGATTGGTCCTTTTTGACGACCCAAGCCCTAGATATTAACCCAGACGCGTCGAGAATTTTACGCAAATCAGCTGTATCTGCAGAATAGGTACCTCGGAAGTAAATAAAAAAACAAAATTTTTTCTTATTTTTCGAGTCAAAAAAATAGGTATTTATTTTAAATTTGAATGAACTCGAGAACAGAAAATAATTCATAAATTATAACACACTGCGTTATACAACCTATCGGGTACTATATTATAGTCTATAATATTGTTACCATGTTTATTTGGTACTGTATTATGCATAATATTATTTCGTTCGGTATATTGTAATCGTTATTATGATAGATTGTGAGTTGTGACCTACCTATATATATCCTCTCAGTACTTACCTATATTCCAACGTTGTTAACGTGCGAATAATAGGTAATATTAAAATATTATATACCTGTTGACGTGTGAATGTATAGCGTTGATTATTCTCACACCTTGCAGCATGATCATAATACCTAATTAATTAATAATAATAAATTTAAATGGGATTGTGAAATGCTCAAAATTCGTTCCATTGGGTGTATATAGTCGCGCATACCCATAGAAATTAGAAGTACAACAATAATAATGTGTAAACAAATACCAGAGTACGAGTATGATATTCAGTGTACCAGTTGTTATACGTCTTGTTTTCAAACCTTATTAATTATTATACTTATTATACTACATAGAATATGTGTGCGAATAATATATATAGAATTTTTATTTTGACCACATTACCTCGTTATATACGACTCGCCATTCGTATATTATGTATAAAATAATAACAAGTGGCGAACTCTCAGTAGTCAATACGCCTACAAAAACATTTCAAACCATCATTATGAACGACTCACGCAAAACTATAATAATAATACGCATTTTTTTTTTTTAGTAAAACCGTACATTTTTAGCGATTTTTGTTAGTTGTAAATTTTATAATATGCAATTATAACAATAAATTGCACGTCTATTGCACGTCTTGTCCGTCTCCGTAATCTAAATAGTATTTAAAGAAATAAAAATAATAAATCATTTTGGAAAAATTTGTCTTTATTATGTGTCACAACAGTTGTCGATTACATAAACACAAATGAATGTACGTGTAGTTTCCGTTTTCAATTCATCTTCCTTTTTTTCGCCTTCATTCCACTGTCGAACTCTGAAGCAGATATAGCCTTATCGGATTTTCGTTTCTTAAACAGGGCGCCACTGTCGGCCTTAGGAATTTTTCTTTGATTTCTGTAAAACAATAATAGTGAACAACAATCGTTAATATTGTATCGATATATTATAATATATAAAATATTAACACAAAATGTTCTAATTTTCTAAACTCTTAAGTATACAATAACTGCAATAAAAACTGTCAAATTATATCTAAAAAATTGTTTAATACATAACCAATCACGACGAGTATTGTACATAGGTATCCCAAACTAACCCCTTCTACGGTGTTTTGTCATTAGCGTATACCTTCAGAATATAAAACTCACCGTCTACGCAAGACATAAATATATGTGGCATAAGAATAATAGCGCAGGAGAATAATTTTTATTTTAAATTCGTTTAAATTTCTATATCTGGACATATTAAGGGGGACGCTACAGTGGCATTTGTTGTCTCCGTCTTATACAAATGCGTAACATAGTACATTTTAAGCTTAGCATAACACGTTTATCTCCGTTAGTTTAAAAATAAGAGCGAATTAACCTTTTTATAATTTAAAGGCAAGATTATTATCTAGACAATGACATAGGCTTTTTATTATATTTTAATTTTAAAGCGAGTTATGAGTATTTTAAGATGTACAAACAGTTTACAATTTTAAAATACACATAACTCGCTTTAAAATCAAAATATAATAAAAAGCCAGTGTAATTGTCTAGATAATATTTTAACCTTTACATTTTATAAGAGCTCAATTCGCTCTAATTTTTAAACTTACGGAGATAAATGTGTTCTGCTGAGAGTAAAATTTGCTATATTACGCGCTTGTAAGACGGACACAACAAAATGTTACTGTAACGTTCCCTTATTAAGGTATATATATTATGGTATCGAATTCTGAAAAACACATATAATACAAACAAAAATATAAAATCCTTGAATCCCGTGTCCTCTGCGTTAGGCGTATAATATTATAATATTATGTCTCAGACGAAAACATTATATATAGGTATACGATAATATGGCGAAATGGCGATTTAGAAATCGTCTCCAGAACCATACTCAAATCCTCAGATCGCAGACTATTATATTATTAGCGTATAATCAATCATCTTCCTGGCAATCCAACTGGCCGGCTAAAAATAGGAAATGGGATCTCATATAATACAAGAAAATTGAGTAAATAGACTTCCGGAGTTCCGTCAACGATTTGCGTTTCTCCGGTCATACAGAATGCATTATTCTGCAGCGTGCGTTTATGCTCAATTAATTAATTTCTTTTTTATACGACATGTATGGATTGTATATTTTTCCTGAATAAAAAAATCGCGTTTATGGATGCAGTGACCCGCGCCACCGGTTTTCACGGAGACGAGACAGATCGGCGACAACGTCAACCGGCTATACGACGGCATACGCGCAATGCGTATAATAATAATAACTCATTATGTACCATTGGTACAGTACCAATACATAGTGGTGTACAGGGTGATTCACCAAGCATGCGCACCCCATGACTTCCTTTAGTAATGTTTTTATTTAAATCCTGAGTTTTGGAATTTTAAAGTAGATTTACTCGAGGACCACCACATTTTCAAATAGTTAGTTTTGTTATGAGTGACGATACAAACTTATTTTTTCTAATGAGAACCAAAATTCTTACTGGAAATTGTTAAACAGATGATTTTTTTTTTTTGATAATGTTGGTGTATTTTTATTGAAATTTGAACAAGTAGTTTCTGAGTTCATTTAAATGTAGGTATAATGGTATATACCAAAAATAATAGTCCTTAAATGGTCTTACAAAAATACCATAAATAGATGGAATATTTTTTGGATTTTACAAATCATAAAACGTTGATCGATTAATATTAATCACTACAATTTTTAAATCATCGTAGCTATATTGTAAATCTTGTACTGTCGTGGACTTTGTTATACACAAATCCAAATAACTCAATAAATAATTCAAATTTCGATTGTGAAGCATACACATTTTCAAAAAAAGTAATTTGATAAAAAATGAACAAGAAAAAAAGGTGTGTCTCAAACTCTCAAATAACAATTGAAACAAAGAATTTGGTATTGCCACAGGAGATTCAATGGTATGACTAATCTAACTATTTGAAAATATAGTAATATAATATAATATAGTATAGTATATTATACTTCAAAATTCCAAAAATCGAGATTTATAAATAAGATGTTATTAAAGTGAAAATGGGAGTGAGCATGGTTAGTGCATCACTCTACATATTGTTGAAACTTATCGAAAACCGTTTGCGGTTTCACGCGGCCAAAATAAACTATAGCACCTGTCTTGCCGACGTCGACGTTCGCATCTGGTACGGCTCGCTCGCTCGCAGGAGACCGTAGAAAATTTAAATTGTCCGTGCAAAAGAGCCGATTAGTGGCGATTACTAAATATAAAATCGCCCCAGTGGTGGCGCGACCTAATTTGTAATTTCCTATATTATACTCTTACAACGATCGAGCTATACCTCGAATAATCGCCCGGCAATTTGTCTTATACTATCCAATCAACCGAGTGCGGTGGGTTGGTGGCGGCGCGGCGGCAGTGACGGTCAAACGTGTAAAATCACGATTGCGACACCTGCACCGATAACGGTCAAATCTAGTTACACATCAGAGTGCGTACATAATATTATAGCTGAACGGCACGACTTTTTTTTATAGACCTTGGGGGTGCCAACATTTCCAAGAGCCCACAAACCCGAGGAATGAGCTTATGATCCCCGCAAACATCCATCAAATAATTCTCATCCCTGCATATCGAATTACCCGAGTTCGCCCCTGTTAGAGATAATCTATTTTTCTATCGTTTTCAGTTTTACTTCAGTTGAAATATATGTATATAATAAGTACAAACACAATTACTAGGTATGATTAATGTTACAATTTTCCACTTCTTAATTCTGAACATTGTGTGGATGTGTAAACACAAAAAACTAGAGTCAGATTCAAATAGTGGTTAGAAGCTAACATAAATCCAATATCGTTAAGACATTCGACTTAATGTATTACAATAAAAAATATGAGGACATAGGTACATAGCTGCCTAAATTATAAATTATTAATACAATCGAAGCCAACGATTTTCGTTAGGTTTTTACATGTTTACACCCCGGCTACCGACCAACTGCATTTTAATTGCTTGAAATATTTTTCTTTAATTTTTATATTATAAAACTTTTTATAATTTCAAAACAAGTCTTAGTCTTCTAGTCAAGTTTGAAAATATGTTACTTCAGTTAAACTGTAGTGGCATTTTTTTGTAAAGCGATTTTTTATTGCATTCAAAAATTGATTAAATCAATTTACTTTTGTAACTAATTAGTAAATGTAATATTTATATTTTCTAATACTACTGTTGAAATATTTTTAAAAACCATCATACATTCTCTATCATTATCTGCTGCATAAATCTAGCTTGCTCGTACCTATTTATTATTATCTCCATTTTTTTTAAAGTATTATGAGAATGTCGACAAACAAATACAATTTTGGGACTTTCAGTAACATATTATATTATAACGATATAAAGGGAGCATTTCAGTCGACAGTCGTGAGTTCTACGTACCTAGTTCTAGGTACCACATAATATAATCATGTATAAAAGTATGGGTTGTACTGGGTTGGGGGAGGGGGATGCGCCGCATATCCTTTTGTTTTACACATCCAATATGTATAAGACTTATATTATTATCACTATTGTCATTATTGCTATATAATTGTGATATGGTCGAGATCCAGTTGAGAAATTAATGGACGACGAGCGTCTCGAACAATAAATAAATTACTGTTTTGAAAGGCGCTTTTGTTGTCGTCATGTGTGCTCACGCACGCCCGATGTTGACTATCATTATTAACAACCGCGGGATTAAGCGCAACACAACACCCTACTTTATACATGCGGCGCCGAGCATTACTGGTGATGTTTATTTTTCAAACGTTTCTCATCATTTTCTCCGAGGGGGTTGCGTCTAATAAACCCTCTCCGCACTCCTCGTCCTGAAGAAATCCCTATTATACGGAAAACTCGCTCCGCGCAACGACGATAATTTATCAATACAATTTGCGCATCTCACTCGCGTTATAAAACCAGGTACGTCGTCTTAATACCTAAATCTAATGCGGTGTTTCATCCTTGCAAACAACCACCAACAATATAATAACACGTCATACGCGGGGTGGAATCGCACCCCTGCAAATGATAATCGGAATAAAAATCTTCGTACCTTATAATATATTTCGATGAATAATAGGTACAAAATATTAAATTATGAAATACCTAAATAATAATAGTCAATAAATTAATTATCATTGCACCGTTTTCTTATACTTAATGTGAGAACTTCAAATGTCATTATATAAAACAAAATATTATTGTTTGAAAATTATAGGTAATATAAATATAAAAGTAAATTAAATTGTATTCAATATTAAAATTATATAGGCACCTAACTTGTTTTTTTTTTCATTTAATGATTCATTAACAATTATATTAATAACTTATATGCAATATTTAAATATAATAAATTCATAGTAAGTACCTATACCTACATACTTGTAATTGAATATTAATATTGTTGTATTTATTAAACGTTTTAAAAATATTAATTATTTAATCTCTTTCATTAAAAAATGCTATGTGGATAATATTACAAATTATGGGAATTTTTTTCCTGGGGATTTAATACATACTATGTATGGATATTAAGTATTAAGTGTTAATTAATATAGTTTTTAAATTTGCCAATTAATACAATATATAACATTTTAATCTACAACTACTGACAAAATATATATAGAGTTCAGCGAAGAATTCATTAGAAAAATATAATGACTATTTTACTATCTTACAGAATACAGAAATATAATCTATATAATGATTTATACAACCAAAACAATTTGAATTTAACTTACACTGTGTCTGTTTTTTAATTACCTAATATATAATCGAATTACTATATCATATTTTTCATACATAATTGACCTCCCATGGAAAAATTAATAATAATAGTGTAATATATTAAAACACTAATTAATTA